TCTAAACTAAAATCGCTTATGACCCGCCCTTCGAACTCTACACAAAAGTTTTATAAATTTATTGTAGTAACCTAAAAAATTGAAAACTGACTGTTTTAAAATTGGTGGGGGGGGGGGGGGGGGGGGGGGGGCTTTTGGGGGACTGCATTTCTACATTTGCGGTCCCCGAAGTATAAAAGCATCCATTTTTAAGATAGATTGAAATAGGCGGTCCACTTAAAAAGAATTGAGTATCACGGTACAAATGTTTTCTTAATAGAATTATTATTTTTAATCTTCAATGTTTATTTATTTAGTCATCCATGATCTCTATGTTAGACATTACATGTTCTTAAAAATTAGGTCCAAGAATCCATCTCAAAAATAGATTTTTAAAACTTGAAATGTATCTTTCTAGATAAGATATTGACTTTATAAATCATTGATGATATTACTTGCTATAGATGGCAGTAGATCGTCAAATATTGTTCCAATTCTTCTCTTTCTCTCTAAATAGTCTTTATGCTGGTTTTATTTCTCTCAATAATCGCTTTGGTGGTTTTATTCAGACGTTCTTTCTTGTAGAAATCATAATTGGAGCAAAAATGAGGATAACAAATATCGATCTTGAATAATATCATCACAAAGTGGATCTATCAAATGCACCCAAGAGTTAGATGACAAGAGAGAGAGGTGTAGGCTCTAGGGGAGAGAGAGGTAGGACGATGGGGGCTGAGAAAGAGAGATTAGCCCTGGTGTAGCTAGGTTTTTATTTTTTTATTTTATTATATTTTAAGAGATTGAAGTTAGGTTTGGGATTATTTGTGTTTTTAGTTTTTTTTAGGCCATTTGTTTCTTTTTTTTCATTGTAGAGAATTGAGGGATTGGAATTAAAATTTTAATTTTAAAAGATAAAAGGTTAGGATTTTTAAAAGATGAACAGTTAATAAATAAATTAGATTTTAGGATTTTTCATTTATGAATACGTAGCTCTTAGAAAAATAATTGATCTAAGGTCATGTGAAAAGATATCCTAGTGTAGAATCTCCCTAGAGCCCTTTCATACTTTTATATTTTTCTGTTATAGTTTTATGTTCTTTTCCCCTTCTCCATGCAATTGGTACATAGCCTTGAAATCCATGCACCAAGATGACATAAAAAAACATCTACCAATCCAGTTTTGGAGTGGAAGAATCAAATAAAGCTCCAAAAAGATTTCAAAAACGTTTTGGCAAAATAATACAAGAAGTATTATAAGATTTACCTCGTAGATTGCAATACAAGGAAATAAAATATGACAAGACAGAAATATGAAATCGACCTCCAATAAAGGCATTAGCCATACACCACGATACATTCAAGAAGTTGATTTGGTTGTATGGCATGAAAATAAGTCCAACAATAATCAAGAAAAGGATGAAAATATCTAGTTAGAACAAAGTGAAAAAAAAACAAATATTTGAAGCTTGTGGGCGAGCTTCTACCAACCCTGAGAGAATGATGTAGTTATTTTTTAGTTTTTTTATTTTGTTTTCTTTTTACGAGATTGGAAATAGCTCGAGGTTATTCGGGTTCTTCGTTTTCTTTTAAGGCATTTGTATCTTCGTTTGCTTTATAGAATAAGAATGTTAATTTTTTAAAAGACAAATGGTTAGGATTTAATTTTTTAATATGTTTCTTGCTCCGAGGAAGTTAAATTTTAGGCTTTTTTTTTTTTTTCCTTTTTAATATGTAAATGCTAAAATAGAATAAAGTAGAGAAAAAATTCGATTTTGGGTCTTTTGATAAATAAAAAAAAAATGCGGGGAACTGGGCATATTGGGTAAGTTTGGGTACAAACTTGTCCAATCTCTAAGTCTAAACAGAACTGGGTGATTCCAAGAGAACCGGACTGATTCCTAGTTTTATCAAGAAGATGCCAGTTATTTTATGTGGAACTTTGAATTTTAAAATAAAAGAATCGGAGTGCATAGAGCGTGTTGCTAGGGGAGCATATTGTATATTTATTCCATCATTCCCTAGGACAAAATACATGCATAGGAGTATTTACTCCATTTGAAGTTTTGAGATCCACTTTAGATTCATCATTTGGGGGAACAAAAAAAAAAACCAAAAAGCAAAAATAATGAGCTCCTCACCGATTTTACTTTCGGTGCAAAAATTGGATGGTACCTTTCCCATCTTAGGATTTTTATTTTTCTCAGGCCCAATACCATACATGAGATTTTTTTCCCTTTGGTCACTATGTAAATGAAGTTACAATTACAAAAATTCGAGGTCCATAAATTACTCCTACCCAAAGTTATGCCAATAGAGGAAGGACATGCTCCAGCGGGAGCACATATTTTCGTGTTCTCTTTCTTGAAAACAAAACCGCTCGTTATTCCCAACAACAATTGACAAGAGGCATTTTGTGCATTTCGTATAGAGCCGACATTCTAAAAATATCAAAAGTAAACCGCAATAGTGTCCAAGAAATGTGGTTTAAATACTAGAAAATCTTTATAATAGCCTTAAAATATATTTTTATATTTAATTATAAAATTTAAAGCTTAAAAAATAGTATAGAACGATCATATCTATGAAAACTTGAAAATCTTGAAAGTCGATGGTCCAAAAATACGTTATAACTTGAAATCAACATTTTTTTTTCTAATGTTTATGCATGTTGATGTCGAGATGATCAATTTGAGGATATTTGAACATCAAAACAGCCTCTTCTAGCAAACTTTTTGAGGTAGTACCTAATTTGACTGTTTAAAGCCTCAGCTCTATATAAACTTTTCCCTTTTCCCATCTGATTGTGATTTCTAGAGGACAAACAAGATGGTCAAGGAGGGTGGCTCTCGTGACGAATGTCAATCATACAGAATTTTCACGTCTACTTCATGACCACATTAGTACCATGAACCTGTGGATCATCGTATAAGTTTCTGTAAGATAAATTCAAGTGACCCCTCTTCCACCTTTTCATTTTCTTTCATGAAAGATTATGTACAGTCAAAAAAATTAATGGGGAAATAAAAAAGGTCTATATTTTGCCAAACATTAAGTGTAAGGTCGGTTCTTATTGGTTTTTTGTTTTTTTGGTTTGCCCCTTGGTCCAGTATTTACTGACATCAGACCAGTTTTAATTTTCTTTTTTATTTTCTCAATCTGAGACTTAAAATTTAGGTCACTTTTAGACCGGTTCGAGATCAAGGCCCTCGATCTCAATGTGGCCTAAAGCCACAAAACTATCACTCCGATATCCTTAACCTTGGACCCCACAAACCAGTAGTCTAAGTACACTAATAATGAATCGCTCTCTCTATGGCCTAAGCTATAATACTATCTCTCCATCTATGTCCAAAAGCCAGAGCAGTAGCGGTCTGAGGTCCCTAACCTCAAACTAGTCCAAAAGCAACTTAAATTTTATATGTCACAACCCTACATTCGAAAAAAAAAAAAATTGGTCTGGTATTGATAGAATTGAACTGAGGGGCAAACCATAAATAATTAAAAATAATAATAATAAATAAATAAAAACCGACATTGCGAACAATATTTGTGAAAAGGATGGGGGTTTATTTGCACTCGGATAATCCTTAACCTTGGACCCCCCAGACCAGTAGTCTAAGTACCCTAATCTTGAATCTCTCTCTATGGCATAAGCTACAATACTAGCTCTCCATCCATGTCCAAAAGCCAGAGCAGAAGCGGTCCGAGGTCCCTAACCTCAAACTAGTCCAAAAGCGACCTAAATTTTATATGTCACAACCCTACATTCGAAAAATAAAAAATGGTCTGACATCGATAGAATCGAACAGAGGGGCAAACTATGAATAATTAAAAAATAAAAAATAAAAGAAACCCACATTGCGCACAATATTTGAGACAAAGATGGGGGTTTATTTGCCCAAAATCTCTCTCTCTCTCTCTCTGTAGGCAATATAGAAAAGACAGAGGACCTCTTGTCGTTTGGTAAAATACAACAGTAGGGGCACAGCTATTGGTCACGGGGTTAAAAACTTGAAATCAGGCCTTTGATTTTGACGCATGTCAAAACCCCAAAGTCCCAAAAACCTGCTCCCAAGCCCACTTACTCATAAAAGCAGGTTCACAACGTACTATTATTCGGATTGTTTACCTTTGCCCCAGCGTTTTAAAAAACGCCGAGTCGAACCGGACTCGTTCGATTCGATTCGAAAATCGTAAAAAGGGATCGGATTGCCCAAAAAATCGGAAATCGTTCGGTTCTAGAG